CTCGTCATAGGCTTCAATTTTATTTAATACATATTTTACATTGAATTTAATCGTGCAATTTTACTAAATTACTTATATTTTAGAATTTACTGTATCCGTAAGTTTGTTACGTATAGCTATATTATACAAATATCTATTTTGATGCCCAAATTTTTAGTATCTTATAAACCAATAATCTTTAACAAAATTAGTATTCGGTAGCAGTCTGACTCACGCAGCAAACTTCCAGTAGAGACAGCAAAAACAAGCTGTTCCCGATAACTTAATTAAAGAGTACGCTTCAAGTTTTATAACTTTACAAATCAAACAATTGTTTAAAGACTTCGGTAAGACGTCAAACACTATGAAGTTCGCAAAAAATTTACAAATAATCTTTAAATAATATCATAAATATTTAATCAGTATAACCCATTTGGCTTAGAGGCGATTTAGGGATTCGATCAATTAAATTCAAATTTTCATAAGTTAACAAGTTAAGGAAAGTGGTTTAAATACATATTGTTGCATTTACAATACATTAATTTTTAACCACGACTTAGATCGCGTGACCGCTATATATTAATTGAGCGTATAGTCTATGTATACCAAATTACAAAAAGATTGATTAAACTGTTAAAACGCCAAAAAACATCGAACAAACAAACTTGTTTTTACATTTATAATATTAGTGAGTATATAATAAAACAAATTTCAGAGAAAAATGAGAATAGAGATTTTATGTTTTTTGCTAAAGAAAAGCACCACAAAAAAGGATTGATGTAATGTGAAAGAATTTTTGTGGTGTGACAAGTGGGATGCGTGGATCAACACCAAAAATGGAAGGCAAAAACATTGTGTGCGGACCCCAAACCAAACAAATGGGAAAAGGCTTGAAAGCTGAAGATGATAAATGATATGAAAAGTAGCAAAAAAAAATTAGGAAATAGGTATACTATTACAAAACTAACAATAAGACGTGTAGAAATCTCTATATTCAAACTTTTGGACGCAACTGGTTTTTTATCTCTGTCTATATTGAAACCAAGAAGTCTATAGAAGTTTGACGACCTCTGTGTTACTTTACGTAAGTGAGGGTTCGATTCCCAGCTTGACCTAATTAGAAAACTAACTTTTTTTGTCTGGTTTCCCATAACATATTATTTTAGTTTGCAGACCCAGCAATAGTATGACGTTTATTATTATTTTAAAAATTAAATAAATAGCAAAATATAAAATGTATATTCATTAAAATACTACACTCAGAATATATTCATACATAACTATATATATAACCAAGTATGCTATAATGACTTTAATATTACTCATTATTACAATGGTACATTTCATAATTGGTACGGTATGGTAAAATGTACTCAAAGTTAGAAGGAATTTAATATATTTTACTTTGTGGATGTACGATGTGAATTTCATTTCACTTGTTAACATACTATATAGTTTGGGTACTTAAGGAGCTTATAATTTGCTCCCGCTAAACATAATTAGTCGTATGTAACGGTGCGCTGTCTAAATTAACCCCTGAGGTAAGACAGCTAATACTAGTATTAGAATTAGCCAACTAACATTACATACCGTTTACTGAACGTTTATATTTAAGGCTTCAGTTATATAATTATTAAATCTATATAATATCTGTATACATTTTGTATATTAGATTAAATTCACTTATGGATATTTGTTACTTTTTCACGCAAAAGCTACTGAACGTATTAAAATGAAATTTGGTACACGGGTGAGTTACATCCTAACTTAAATTATTAAAACCACCAAATTTTACCTTAATAATTCTTGTACTCAATTAGGGAACGCATCTCTCCAAATTAATATGACAAATTGAACAAGTTTATACTCTTGATCTGTCTAATAGATTTTATATTTAGAAATACCTACCTAAAATATATAATTAGCATTATAGTCTTTCACAAACCAAAAGTTATTTAAAATATATCCAATCAGGCTAAACTTTTCTCCAGTTATAATCTTGAAGTTTTGAAACAAATGAAACCAACTTGATATATTTTACAAAATTTAGGTGTGGGCATTTATTTAGAGTTAGAGCGAATAACAGAAAAATTACGATAATATTTAGTGTTTACTGATCAAATCGAAACGGCCTAGTATATTACACATTGAGTTTTCAACTGCGCTTTGCAGTTTTGCTCATTCAAAATAAAATCTAACTAAATTACGAGATAAGTATGCTTTTTTATAATTATTTTTTTAAAATTAACTTTAATAATTCAAAATCGCATCTCAGCGTTAAAATAAACAAAATTTTATCACTGTTCTGTATAATATGAGTATTGATTTTAAACTGTACATACAAGTTCATGTAACTATTAGTGTTACTTTATTTTTCCACTCAGTACAACTATTTTTACGAGCACAATGAAAGAATCCACAAAGTGGGCTACAAGCAAACGTTCCGAACGTAAAATGTCTTGCAGTGTTTCAACCACACATCATTGTTGTAATATTGATACAAAGAAAGGGGTATACGCTTTTAGAATTTGAAACAAGTGGACGTGAGCATCACGAAAATCCGATTGTAAAATAAGTTTTTATAGTTTGTAACTGCCATTATTTTATTTTATACTGTCCCTATATGAGATCTATAATACTCCTACAGTGCAATGTATCATTTACAAAAATCCATTTTAGCAGATTACACATTCTCCTGAAGATGTAGACATTACGCAGGTATGTTTAATACGGAAATGTGCATGTATTATGTACAAGTATAAAAATCATGGCATATCACTAATTTTTTTTTTTTATTATAGTAGGATATGAGACTACACCATCCTGAGCGAATATAGAACCAATATGGTTCATGAATACGATCGACTGAAAACAGAATGTTTTACTCTCAGCAGTTGAACGCACTATAACGGCTCATTAACGGCTTTTTCTGGCCACATTTGAAAGATCCGAGGTTATAGGATGAAAAAACAAGTCTTGGTTTCTCCTGCCTTGGCCTATGGTCTTTCGGCAATTCCAAATAATTAAAATATACATAATTAAAATTCTGATTTAAAAAAAAAAAACTATGTACTAATATCAATGCATAGTAAAAAACACCTTTCTCTCACTCACTCACTGTCTACTCACAAAATCTCAAAAACTAAATGATTAATGAAATTGAGTTGGAACTTGACAGGTACATTTCTTAGGAAGCATATACATCTACTAAGAAAGAATATGTTATAATTCTTGTAGACATGTGATAACAGCTACTACGCGTGTAATTCCGTGTGAATTTACTTATTCTTTGTGCAATTCATATTTGCAGTAAATTTTTCCCTAACTCTTACAAGAGCTTTGCTGAATTACACTTGAAACTGTCAAGTGTAGTAATACCACTATTCATACTAGCTATACGGAAAACATTGTGCTGGATCATCGGGGATGAGTGTTTGGGCTCAAGTCATTCTATTCTGTTTTTCATTTTGTTCAATACAGAAAACCTTTTGGCCGGACTACCTACGACGGTAAACATAGCGTTTTTTTCATGGAGTAGCGAAATAAGAATATGTTAAGATTATGGTATATTGTATTAGCATCAGTACTTATTGTCAACTAATGGGGACACTACAAACATCAGTACAAACAAAAAAAAAACTCAAAATAAAACCTATAATAAATACTACGCTATATTCTCCTTTTATGAGATAAAAGCCTCCACTAAACACAGTATTTTAGATAGTTGTACAACATACTACATCTATAGTTTAAAATAACCATAATAAATAGTAATTCGTGACACTATCCAGAAACGATTTATATTTCTAGTTCATTTAATTAAACGCAAATTGAGCCTGTCTCTCCTGAAATTTCAACCCTTCATTTTAACCCCTCTTAAGAAAAGAAAACAAAAATATTTATCTAGTATTTTTTTTAAGTTGGTATATATTTTAAAATATTTTAAAATACAAATTAATAGCATTAGTGGTTGCTAAAATATGCCGCTGAAATATACAAATGCGGATACAGGCTCATAAATATATTCGCATAATAAAGGTTTATTACCTTTGATTTAATATTCTAAATACGAGTTAACATTCAGTTTCCGTTACATTTTTTTTATTTAAATAATTAATCATAAATTTTAATAAAAGTAAAAGTATTTAATAATTCAATTTATCTAGTAACATCAGGTAGTTGGAAACATCTTTACGAAGCCACAAATTTATAAACCATAACTTCAATTTCTTTTCCCTTTAATTTGTTATGAAATTTATATTATTTTCTGCTCGTAAACTTCCAAATTAAGTTCTAAGGATTAGTTTGTTGCTCGTAATTAAAGTATTTCGAATTTTAATTCATAAAAAATACAAAATAGATCTAGTTTATGATTGGTTTTTTACCTTAAGGCAGATTATAAATTTTTAAATATCCGAATATAAAAGTAACGAAATAAAATGCAAACTTAATAAATATTATCTTTTTAGAATATGCATTTATTAATTTATTTTCTAGTTACTCGTCTATACTGTATGCAAAGTATCTATGATATTTTAGTTTTTATAATTTTAGTAGCTTCGACTCAACGACGATAATTCAACCCACCATAAGTTATTTCTGTTTTTAAATTAAAAGTATTTAGCACAATTCAAATTCTATGATCATCTAACTGAAATAAATATATGAGCTTTGAATTTAAAACATACTAAAATAATTTTAATATTGCGCTTTTCACGTAATAGCTAATTTCATATCGATAATGTATTTATAACCAAAATATTGCTCTTCAATACTTTACTTACTCTACATGATACTGATATCAAATAAATTTTTCAAAGTTTGGAATTAAAAGTTTTCACATTGAAAGACTACTTATACAAGCAGAAAGAAAACGAGTAGAAACAAAAAGTTGGACACATAAACGTAACTACTGCATGCGACATTAGCACTTCACATTAGCAAACTTTGGAGCTAAATCGTCGTTTCCTTAATAACGACACGACACAAATCAAAAGTGGAAACTGAAAATTCATTCTTACCGCTCGTCCTTGGGCCGAGGCGAATAGTACGAAAAGAGCTAGCGTGCACAACATTACGAGGCCGTAGCGTCTCGTAGCCGACCGTAGCCGACCGTAGCCTCCCGCCGCGGTGTCGTGACTGCCGCGAAAGCTCGCGTGCCGTGCGCCATCGGCTTCCGACCTCAATGCTCGGACCTCCGTCGTACATTATGTAAACAAAGTATTTGACAATAACATGGAAGTAACGATCGACCTTTTTGTTTGAACTGAAATTTGTTTATGTAAGGTCAAGGCGAAAAATTTTTCCGACCTCGCAACGTCATCACTTTAATTATGTTTCTGAATAAATGACGAGGCACTTACAAATGAAGACTTAAATTGGTTCCACGTTATAGACTTTAATGTATTATATTTAATTCTAAGTGATTGAGGAACAGAGTCCATTACTTAATTGAAAATTTAAATAATATATCTGTAACTCGTACTTAGATATAAATTCAATCGTTTTTGATACTGTACTGCATTCTTTATGTAAAATTAGAATTAACTTTCTACATTTCTGAAATAAAAATAGTTATTGTTGCCGAATTTTAAGTAATAAAAATCCCTACATTTACGTTTTATAAATTCGTTTTGACAATGGGCAATACATAGTATTGTAGCCAGATAACAATGAAATAAACTTAACTTCAATAAATTCTAGTTAGCATATATAAACTACCTTGGGCTAAGGCAATGTAAAATGAACCTAAAAAATAAAATACTTCAAAGTTCACCTTTGCTTACGTTATTTTTAATTGTTATTATTACTGTATGAATCCATTAAACAATAAATATTTAACTATGTGAGAAGGTATAAGATACCCTTATAATCTTATAAATGTTATCACATTTATAGCGAGTTTGTTTGTTTATTACATCTTAGCGCCTTAACGGCACAACCTCTCATTATATAATTTAGCATATATGTACTATTTGGGATAGAAAAGGATATAAGCTACTATTTACTCTGGTCAGTCGGTATACCTCGGTCATAACGCTCGTCGTTATAATCGAGGTATATAAAACGTATAAAAAATAAGATTGTTTAATAATTTGCCTCTCTTTTATAACATTCTTTTTACAACATAGAATGTAATGAGCGTCACTTGTAGACATAAATATCACCAAGAGCATTGATAGCATACACTGAGAACTAAGACGTTATGGCTTCGCACCTAATAATTTCTCTGCCCTTTCTTTGTAACAGAAACATAAGTGGGACATAAGTATGTACTATTTAAACGACTTTATGTAGTAATCTTTCTCCGGTTATGAATGAAGCTATATCTAATAATTTGCTCTATATATTTTAAAAGTAATATTTTCTTATGGTTTTACGATTTGAGATAGAGGTGTGGTTAGCTCGAGAAAAGGACAGGAAGTATCTATACCGTATGGATTAGTACTTTTACAGCACTTCTGTGGTTTTGTGGTCAGCAATAACTGTCTGTGACAGGTGTGTCGCAGGTATCTGTTATATACGATAAATGCTTTAGGTATATACAAGGTACATTGCATGCTTTAATTTTTTTTTTTTGTAGAATAATAATTCTAATTGAAAAACTAACATTGTATTTTTACGAATCAATACTACTTGATATACCTACTATTTAAAAAACATGCCTTTATTTTTTTCGTAATTTATCATCAGTATCACTAGGTATCAGATATTTCGATCACACAGAAAAATAATGTTAATAATTTTAAAGCCAGTTTGGGTTTTTCCTAAAATATATTACCTCATTCAATATTAAATTAAGCCGCGGTGGCACGTAAAATAACCTATGTAAAACAAGTTTGGGAAACGCCTGTCGATGGGTAAAACGTTACCTTTGAAATATTCAACGCGAAAAGTAGGTTATACCCGACTTTTCTACAAAGATCCGATCCCAAGCGACAGAGACCCAACCTACCTGGGCACGTGTAAAGTTACACATAGTATACCGGACGCTGATTAAAAAGGACAGATCAAAGGAAACTGGTTTACATGTAAAATATAGTACTTTATACTTGATCTTCAATATAGTTTAGCATAGAATCCTACATTGGTACTAGCTGTATCATGTTTTTTTTTTTTTTGTTTTTTTTATACAACTTAGAATGGCAGACAAGCTGACGGCCCACCTGATGGAAAGTGGTAACCGTCGCCTATAGACATGAGCAGTACCGTGGACATAACAGAGTATACTCATATGGCTCCGTCTGCTTAATTTAGAGAAAATAGTCCATTCACTCACCAAAATTCTTTCACATTCGTTCAACCGTTTTAGCGTAATTAAGTGATAAATATCTAAACTTCCAAAGATCTAAATATCCACATATCTTTACAAACTTTTACTTTTATAAGATTAATAGTAAGTAATGTTCTGCAACTTTCAGCCAACTGTCCAAGAAAAGCTGCGGAGAAAGATTCTCATACCATTCTCCCTGTCATATATATATATATATATATATATATATATATATATATATATATATATATATATATATATATATATATATATTTTTGAAAAAAACGGCGATATATATTCACTTCTAACTCTTAGATCCTTAATGGCTGCGTAGTGCGGTTTCAGAGATGTTTCCTCCCATAAGCGCTCATAGTTATGAAATCAACTCTCTGTCATATATATATATATATATATATATATATATATATATATATATATATATATATATATATATATATATATATATATATATATATATATATATATATATATATATATAAAGAAAATATAATGCATCTGTGTCGAATCTTGTAAGTATGTCTGTCCCAGAACTCAGTAAACGTTTTTTACTATAACACAGGGGACAAAAAAGCGTGACCGTAATAATGGATTATTTACCTACTACGCAATAGGATATTCCATACTGATTAGGCGCCACTCACGAGAGCGCTACGTCTACTCAACAAAGTAGTAGCGAGTACAAAGCTAGACTTTTTCACTGTACTGGCACAGAGTTCCGGTAACAAATTACGCAGAATTACATTTTTTGTTTATTTATTTTTTAAATATAATTAGAATTATTACTATTATTTTTCCATTATTGTATTATTATAATGTTCTATTATTTTATACAAGCAAGTAAGCAAAACTTAGTAGTGATTATGTTTAAAAGTTAGATAAAGAAAATATTTTTTATGTAAAACCTAAATTATTATTAATTAACAGAAAAAATACCGTCAATGAAATAATAAACATAGAAACTATTGTTATTTTATTTATTTTATTTAGTTAGTTATAGTACAAAATCAGCAAACTTAGGTAATAAGTTATACCTAAGTTTAAATACGAAAGATTTTAAACATGAAATTACGCTCAAACCACTTTTAAAAATAACATCGATAAAAATTTATTGAATTAAAAGTTGTTAATTAATTTAGACGAAAGTGTAAACAAACAATATTAAAAAACATGTCTCGAATTGAAAACTCTCATTATTCCAAAAAGTTTTCAGAGCACGAAAATAAAATTATTATAAATTAAATTTGAAGTACTAGATAATTATGATTTAAGGAGTAAAAAGTTATGATTCTTAGGTTATTATAATAACCAATTTTGTGGGAAACATACGTAAATTGCCATGTGGTCCCGGCATAGAATAAGCCACCCCTTCCTTTCCTGTGTGTCGTAAGAGACGTCTAAAGGAGGGCAAGGGATGGGCAGCAGCGTCCCTCTCAAAATATGTCTAAAAGCTTAACTGCGGTTGCCAACCAGCCTGCCAAGCGTGGCAACTACTATCAAAACTCCCCTTATGAGGGAGACTCATGTTTAGTAATGGACACTTAAGAGCTGATATGTTGATGATGAGGATACGTAAATACCTGTAAATACTTGGTGGTGTCGGTGATTTAAATACGTCCAGATACATTTTATCTAACTCGAAGTTTGTTTGCGCTATTTGTTTCACACAACTATCTCCTCGTCCATAATATCCAAATAAGAATAAAGAAAATATGGAGCTCATGTTATAAAATTTTGTAGTAGAGAGTAGTTTCAAACGTTCAGAGCGAAAACCGTCGTTAATTTTTGTTTTCATACTTCAGGAGCTTCTTATCTAAAATTTCCATACTACCCGCATTTTGTTTTTATGAAAACTATTCTTATTTAATGCTCGCAAAATCAAGTCAGAGACAAAATCTGTCAAAACAGAAACCATATAGCTAAATATTTCATGATTACAGGTTATTTAGTTAATAATTTTATTGCTTATGTATAAAATAATACCGTAAATATCAATCATTATTAAAAAATCTCTATTTATGTTCATTATCAAACTATATTCTTATTATTCTTTGACATTAACGACTAAACTAATATAATTTATTACAAATAATAATATCTAATTATTATCAGGTATGTAAATTCTAATATTGACAAGTTTAGAAAACTCCTTACAATTTGAAGTATATGTTATAATGCTTATTAAATATTTATTATTGCAATAATATTTCGTTTTTGGGTAAAAAGGAACCGTTCTATAAATAAATTTATTATCTATCCCCGTTTGACATTTTGTGAGCAGCGTTATTCTTTGAAAAAAAATTCGTATTATTCTAAAATATGCGGACCGTTTGTAAATTGACAATGATTGGATTATACAAAATGGATTTTCATTAATGCCATGTCCATAATATATACCGGGTGGAGCCGACAGCAAATACTAGTAATAAACCTAAACAGTTTATGTTTCGTTATAATCCCGAGAGAGAACGAAGGGGTAGACAACTTTCAAGCCTCAGTTCTTGTAATCTTGTAGTCTCAGTTCGCAGCGACTCGATAGTCATAACGAAAGTTAAATGATTTATAGGCACATTAACTATATCACTATGTTGTTAGTAATACGGATTAGCAATCCTATTACTAGCAATATACTCTATCAGGTCGACCTCCTCGCAGTTTCCCCTGGAAAATATCGTGATTGATTCATTGGTAAATTTATCACGATTGGCTAATCTGCTTCATCCTCGCCTATCATCCCTTACTGGTGCCCCGCCAGTGTATACCGATAGCGCAGGCGGGGTTACCATTCCATTATCATCCATAAAAAAACTATATCACTAATATTATTTGTAGTTGTAACCAATCAAATTTGTCTAGTTTTTGTATAACAAATATTCAAACATCTCAAGATCTTTA